GGTCGATGCGTATATAAACGGGTGCATTTGATCGATCATTATCACGGGTTTRCCTTCCTTCGTTAAAAACTCGGTCCTTCTAAAATCCACTACTTTCAAATCTATTCAAAATTCTATTCGTTCCCAAACCAATTCAATGTTCTACAAAAACTCTTTCTCAAATCACGCTCWCGTCCGACTTCTAGGCAAAACTCACACTCCTCCAACTACCAAACGCATAATTAAACCCTACCCACTCACCTGGGTAAATCAATAAAACTAACATAAACCTTCCAAATAAACTTCCACCCACTAGTAGAGGCATACGCCTGGAATAGTTAACGGCAAAGCAAAGCGATCATTATCAGTAATTTTCCAACCTCCAAGATATCAAGGCTATTTAAAATTTGTCGCTTGAAAACGGAGAAGACYGCCAACCACCACGCCGGAGTAGTAGAACTGCAGGAACCAACTAACGATACCAGCGAACCCCAAGACGCCGCCCGAAACCCAGCTGCCACGAGTGGAGCGACGATACGAACACCCGACACCGCTGTCCGCATACAGTGTGGAGGCCGACTACGAAGCGTCGTAATCGTCAAGGATTCTCCATGGATGCCGACTATAGCACAACCGCTCAGGATTAATTGAATCTCAATTCTGCGTAGGACGATTGACGAATGCCCTCGAAAGTCGAAGTTGTGGTGCTCACGATAAATATAGCTACCTATACCACCTTCCGACAAAGCCGACACACCATCGTCACGCCGCCGGTCGTGCGACGATAATCCGAGTGGACACAACTGTCGTCAGCATTGGTAGCCATCCCGTCAAGTGAGCTCCCGATCAGGAACGAGCGGCCAAGCCATCGGATCGAAGCCGGTATCCTAGGACGACGCAGAAGAGTCGCCGATCGCTCGGATGAACCAGCCACGCCGAGCAATCCAGCTCTACGAGACTCCGAAGATCACCGCCGGACCGGAATACCACCAAACCCGTTTTCGAGGCAAATAAAACAAATAAGTCCCCCCAAGCGAGCCTGCATAGGCCATGCTACCCGTACGGCAATACGCACTAACACCACTTATTTGAGTCTTGAGCGGGCCGAACGTATTGGGGGATACGGTATGTGGGTACCTTACCGAACTGTGAATAAAATAACTCATTCTCCACTTTGTCAAGATGGTYTCGACCCCGTGAACCATCATCCCCATACCTTGTATATTAACATTACATAGAAATAAAAAACATGTTGATTAACCGAAATCACCCGAGTGTTACACTTTCTTTAAAGAGACGGATATTCGCCCACAGCGGCTACGTTACAATTGTCATCAAAAGATTTATTTCAAGTTGATTTATAGTAAGAGTATATACCTATTTACTTTTCACCAATAAGAAATAATGTTTGTGAAAATTGTAAAAATAATTGGTTAGTTGAAAATGATTTTTCGCAAGTTGAAAAGTTCTTTCGTAATTGGAAAAATCCTTGCAGAATTGAAAACTGTGCTACTAATATTTATTAATATTTAAAGTGCCCATATATAATTTATTAAGTGATTGATAATAGTAATATGTATCCGATTTAGCAACATATATAGTATCTGCAACTTATATCTAAGTTTTTTTGGCAATTAATAAATCTAGGAATAAGAAATTCCAGTCTTGTCAGAAAAAAAAAATTAACTTTATAATTAAAATTCTAAATTTGCGTATAAATATATAAAAATAGTTKAATAGAATATTTATATGTTAATTTAATGCGATATAGAATTTAGTTAATGT